ATTCAATCTCAACAATCTCCACCAAAGCTTTATTCTTCGTCGACTCCAAATTCTCGAAAATCCCCTTATTCCACCTCTTAATGTATTCCTTTAAAAGATGCAACTTCCCTACAATATTAAAGCTCGTATTGCCACTCACTTCATAGATCTGCCACTAAGAAGACACCTCTCCTTGAATCCTTCAACCCGAAGTCACGTGTTCTCAAATCTAAAAGGAGAACTCCTCCACAAACCATAACAATCCAACATAATCGGAATATGATCCAAAGTGGGTCTAGCCATTGCCACTTGAACCACATCCGAGAAACTCTCCTCCCAATCTCCATATAAGAGGAATCTAACAAGACGAGACAAAGTAGAAGAGTATCTAACACTGGACCACCTGAAAGAAGCTCCCACAAATGTTAAGTCAATTAAATGGGAATCATCAATAAGTCAAAAAATTGCTCCGTAGCCGGGGTCCACCTTCCTCCTGCTGACCTTTCCATCGGAGACCGAGTAAACATTGAAGTCTCTGCTAACACATCAAGGAAAAGGCCATCTACCCCAAACAGAGCCAAGCTCCTCCCAGAACAAATGACGCTCTCCATCCTTAACGAGGCCAAAAACACCAGAAAAAACCCAATGAAAGCCATCCTCCTCCATGGAGAATTTACCGAACACACAAAATGTCCTTATCCACATCTCCAGCTTGGACACCCATCCCTGTCCCACGTTGAGAGAATCCCTCCCGAAGAACCAATAGCATCCATCACTATCCAATCCACAAATCTCCCTCCCCAAAGACTCCCAACGACCCTCTTAGACATCGAGGCAAGCTTCATCTCCTCAAGACACACCCAGTGTTGTTAAAGGCGCGCCTAGGCTCGAGGCGCATGTCTATCGCTTGTTGTCATCCCAAACTCACTGATGTTTACTAGGTGCGCGCCTCGGTTGCTCCTCGTCCTATTTGTCAGGCGCGCCTCACTATTTTTTTTTTTTTTAAAATGATTATTCTATTTCTTAAGCCAAAAAAGGTACTTTTGGCAACTTAATAAAGTAATAAGAAAGCCTAAGCTTATGAGAGAAGGAACTTTTGTTCAAAAGAATAAACAAATAAGAAAGCCCAAGAGTCAAAAGTGTCAACCTAACATAGAAAGAGTGAGACTGTGAGACCAACGACAAAGCCCTAGTTGTAGAGACGAACGATGAGGCCATGCCAGTTCTTTCTTCTCCTCCTCTACTTCTCTCCCCTCTCATCTTTTCTTACTACTCTCTCTTCGTCTAGTTCTCTTCTCTCCGTCTTTTTCTTTTTTTTTTTAGGCTCTGTTTTTTTCTCCTTTTTCTTCACACTTTCTTTCTCTTCTCATCTACTTCTCTCACTTCATCTACTTTTTTTGTCTCTGCGTCTTTTTTTTTTGGGGCTATGTGTTTTTTTCCTTTTCTTGTTAACAGTTTTTTTTGTTTTGTTTTGTTAATAGATTTACTTTTTGTGCTCTGTTTTTCCATTCAAAAAAACAAATTCTGTTTTGCCTTTCAAGAAAACAAATGTGTTATGTTTGCTTATATAGTTGATGGATTTACCTTTTTTATATTTGATATTAATTTTTAAAATATTGATATGACTTATGAGATATGAATACTTTTATGGTAATTTAAAATTTCAATTGTGCGCCTTACTTCACTCAGGCGCGCGCCTAGGCTCCAAAGGACCTCTAGCGCCTTAGTGCGCCTTTAATAACACTGGACAACCCCCCCCCCCCCCCCCCCCCCCGGGCGGGGGGGGGCGAATCGCAATCGCACCACTTTCTCTTCTCTAGGTCATTTAGAGCACAAAAATTCCATGAAATGATGCGGAACATCATGGATGCACTAAAGAGTTCACCTTCCCCCTTCTACCTCTCCCTCCCCCCTCCACTCATCCCTTCGTAGTCAATATAAGAGATGAGAGTCCTAATCTCCGTCTCCCCTTTCTCCAAAGAGGTCTTTCTCTTTCCATCCACCTTCCAACTATTATTAATTGAATGAAAAAAAACCCACAACCTTATCACCCTCACCTTGTAAAGACTCTCCAACAAGGTTGCCCATTGGTGCAACATTCTCCTCCAACACCTCTTCCTATTGACCCCACCCTCCCCTCTCTCATCAAGAGAAACCTCCCCCTCTCTTCCCCTGATCCCATCATTGCCAAAGGAACAAGTAACAGTTATCCAAGTCTTTGCATCCTCCTTACGGCACAAAATCCCTGTCCCCACCTACAGCGTCACCAGGCACCCCTTCCCAATCAAAAACAAATGTTGATGGACCAATGCAAGCCACAGGAGTGCAAAAAGCTCCTTCTGAGTCGTCGTCATTCTCAATTGATCCAGCATCCACATAATTGTTCAACCCTTTCAATACCTTGTGTAAGCAAAGTTCTTTGACCAAAACAGAGAGTTTCATCACATTATATGAGTCGAACATCTCGTCCACCACACACCATAATCTCATTAACATCATCGTTGGTAAGAGAATCACCAGCAATGCATTCTAGGGCCCCTTTACATCTTAAATAATCTGACACCTCCCCACTTTCCTCCTCCGAACAGCCTTCAGTTACCCCTTCATTAACTGGTGATAGTGTTTGAACATCCGGTACCAAACCCACATCCATATCCCTCACTGAACTCCTCAACACCCCACAAGAAGGAGAAGTAGAAGAAGATGGTATAGAGTGAGAAGAAAATTGATCGGGTAAAAAAGGAGGCTTGCCAGGAACATGAGCAGCCCTACTTAGTTTGACCCACTTTGTTTCTCCTTTGAGTGCAGCGTCTGCCACGGGAAAACTTGCGAAGTTTCAGAAAAAATTAGCCATGGTCCCTCATTCTTCTCAAAGCAAGAATCCATCCTCAGTGTCTCTATATCTTCAGACTCAGAAAAATTGCTTTGCCGCTTGGACAGACTCTTCTGGTTCTTATAAACACGCTTTTGGGCCTGTAAGATGGATGGACCACGAAGGACTGGATCATTCTCCATGGCTTCCTGATAGGGCCATCACTTGACCCAATAAGAGAGACCTTACGAGAATTATTTGGGCCCCAACTAACCGCTCTGGACTGTGAACAAAAAATTGGGCCTTTAAAAACATCTTCAGACGTAGGCCCAACTCTTTTATGAAAGTCCAATTTTGACCCATTGAGAGAAGGCCCACAATCCACATATTTGAATTTTAAAGCCCCATCATGTGACTTCCCACCTGCAAAGCTAGCTATCTCCCACTTTAAACGGGAAAGCTTCCGATGCTTGATGCATGTAGTCTCCTTTTTGCTTCTTCCCACACTCTCCTCCCGCGCGTGAAAGTCCATTCATCCTTGTCCTTGACAACGATCATTCCTCTGAAACTTCGAATTGTGCTTTCCTCTACGCTCGTTGCGTCTCAACCACTCTTTTTCCGATATCAGCTTGTTTTCGTCCCTTCCGAACAAAGATTCAGGTTTAGGCACAAGAGAAGGTGCAATTTCTTCCATCAGCGCGACCTTGCCACCCATTTGTCTTCCACTATGATGTACACCGGAATCACCCCACCGTCGGCAACTGTGAGAACAACCCTCCCAGTATCAACAATCTCATACGACTCAACATCACGTAGCTTCCACACAAGTCGCCGATTGCTTCGAAAAGTTTCTGGCACCAGAGATGCAGAGGAAGACAATAAAGGATGATCCACCTTTTCTACTCTTCTTCTTCAGTCTCGAGCACCCAACTCTGAAACATTAGACATCAATGAACAACTTTGCTTCGCTTCACCCCAGACATTCTTTTGCAGATTTCAGCACCCTCTGTGCTTCGTTTTCCGAAGGCAATCTGAACAGGAGAAGACCGTCGGGCAGAGTAGAAACCCTAACCCAACTCAAAACCTTTCATATCTTCGTAGCCCATTCTTGGATTCTTTTAAGACCGCCCACATCTCTGTCAAATCTCCCAACCAAGCATGATTTCAGCACAGCCTCTCGAATCGTTGTGTTATGGTTGTCAACCCTAAACACATGCCCTTTGCTTGTCGCCATACTTTCAACCTCACCATTAACGGTAACACCTGGGAGTCTTGCCACATCCAGGAACGACCGCTTCTCACCCTCGAAATCTTTCATGGCTTCCATGAACAGATAAAGAAGCAAACCAGAAAAGAAAAAGAAATAGAGATCAGAGGACGCTGGAGTAGAGGACTCCGGCGTCTGAGAGTACACAGAGACGATTAGGAATAGAGAGAGAGCATTTTTTGGGGTTTCTTATGATTGGATCTGTTGAATCAGAATTTTATCTGACAATTGGATGCATAAACAACAGCAACTCCAATATTGAATATGAAACTAACTATGAATATATTAGGATGTAATTTACTTTTGACACACTGTTGTGAGAAGGCTTCATTGACTTGTAAAGAACTAAAGCTATTTTGTAAATAGGTAAAATTGTGTATAAAGATGAAGATTTATATGTAAAATTAGATCTGATCTTGATCAGATTTAATCAACATATTTCTAAAATTCATTCCACTGTAATGGAGTTGGGATTTGAAATAGCCACCTTAATTCCAATTACCAGATAGAATTAGAAACATTGTTTAACCCACGCACAACCAGAGTGATGCTAGAATTTATTTGCATTAAAAAAGACCAAGAAATAACACTGATAGACTAACATTGAAGATGACTGCAGTCGTGATGACAACTTAGAATGGAAATTCTCATACAAGATGCAAACTTAAATTTGATGCCTCTATCTAAAATGATCACAAACTTATCAGGGGCTTAGCTTAAGTGGTATCTCCTCCTCCTTCCAAAGGGGAGGTTGAGGGGTTGAGTCCCCAGCGAGACAATAATGGGCGTGTGTGTGTGTGACTTACTACCCAGGAGAAAGACCCAAAAAAAAAAAAAAAAAAAAAAAAACAAAACAAATCACTTATGAAATTATGAAAGGAAACAAACCAACAATAACACAACTATAGTGGAATATATCATTCATATTAGAAGCCCAAAAACCTGAGAAATCATCCCAATCACAACTAATCGCCCATAAACTGCCAATGCATTCAAGCACAAATCAAACATTTCACCACCAACAGACTCATATATGATATCAACACCTTTAGGGAACTCCTTCTTTAGAACCTGAAAAAAGAAAAAATTAAAATTTTAATTATGAGAAACTATATGGGAAAAAAATTGAATTTATCGCAGAGTTCATTGGGCAACTAAGACAATGGAGCATCCACTTTAACGTTTAAACAAGAAATTGGATAAACAAATAGAAAATAGAAGGTAAATGTAGATCTTTCACTAGACTTTTTTGTAGTATATGACAGTCATTAGAAGGCATGATCAAATAGAAAATCTAACTCATGTCAAGCCCATGCCATAAAATCAAATTGGAAATTTGACAGAAGCAAGTGCAAGATAAGAATCATATAGTCCTGCAAAATGTCCATGTCATATTATGGGAACACTACTAGACATATTATGGTATCATTGGAATAAATCAATAGAAAACTGTCACGCTTAAAATCAGAGTATTCTGGAGAGTAAATTAAAGCATATTAATAAAGGATTTTTTTTTTTTTTTCCTTTTTTTTTTAAAAAAAAAGAAATAAAGTGAGACTTCACTTATCCAATTTTGAATTTACTGTAACATAAAGAAATTCTAAAACGAGCCAAACTCCAGGTTCCAGCTTGTAACCTTTGTGACGTTGTGGCACGAATTTTGTTTCGGCCTGGGTCGTGTTGTGACTCGGTTTTGACCCGAAATGACCCGTTTTTATCTTGCAAGTCATGGACCCTGTTTAGTTCTCTCTTGTAGCTCGGGTATATAAGGGCGTTTAGGGTTTGGAGTGGGATAATGAGAGAACACTGAAAATCTCAGAAAAGAAAGTGGGAGAGAGAGCTAGGGGGTTTGGGACCTGAAAAATCTCCTGATTTTCGCATAGTGAAATCTTTTACCGGATCTTCATCGTGGACGTGGGCGTTGCTGAACCACGTAAATCTTTGTGTTCTTTGTGTGTGGCATATCTACTTTTCTGTCATGATTCTTGATTGTATTTTTGGTTCACGGTCTTTGTAGAAGAAACCTTTTTACTGAAATCAGTTCTAAACCTCGCAGTCATCATTGCCTGTCGCAATGGTAAAAGCTTGGACTGCCAAGCGTGAGGTCGTGGGTTCAAGTAATAGAGAAGCTACTCTGTGCAACATAACATCAAACGTTAGGTCTCTCTCTAGTCTTTCACTCCCAATACTGTAGATGGGACATAGACTGGGTAATGCACTTTAGTTCTGAACTTCACAAGGATCTCTCCAATTAATTGAGAGAGAGAGAGAGAGAGAGAGAGAGAGGTGTTGAACGCTGAAAGTCCAGTAAACTGAGGATCTCAAGCAGGGTGGATGAGTGAACTAGGTCTACGCCAGCATTAGCTATTATCTTTGTAGGATAAGGTGGTTTGTATGCAATAAAAAGAAAAGGGGTTCTGCAAAAGTTCAGCACACAAATGCAACCCTTCTTCAATAATTAATAACCAATGCAAATCACAATTGAGTTGTGATTCCCCAGGCAAATGACAGGAACCATACCCACACAAGGCTACATGATACGAAGACGTTGTAGGCCCCCTTTACTTCCACATAATTCTCAGAAAAAAAAAGACCATTCTGAACAAGAACATGATATTACATACACAGGATACCAAAAGTGAATATTCAGAAGTCCAATATGGAAAAGCTGTACTCCCATATAACATGCTTATCATGTGAAAATATCATAGACAAATCCTTGTGCAGGAAAACATCGTATAATGATGAGGAAAAGGGACAAGTGGTCAAACAGACCAAATATCATTATTTACTGTGTTAAAAATGATAAAAAAAACCTTATAAAGGCTTAGTCAGGAAAAAGGGACAATATGTGGGATTTGTTACGACAAACGCAGCGAACCAAGCAACAATTACAAAACACGACAGAAAAATAAACACACCACACAAAGAACACAAATATTTATACGTGGTTCAGCAAAGCCTACGTCCACGGTGGAGATTCAGTGAAAGCCTTCACCATGTGTAAAATCGAAAATTACAAGTTTCAGCCCTTCACTCTCTCTGTGTACGATTTTCAGTGTCTCTTGATGATCACACTCCAAATCCTAAGCACCCTTGTATATCAGGCTACAAGTGAGTACTAATTAGGGTCTACGACCCATGAGCAAAAACGGATCAAAAATTTTCCTTGGGGGGCAAGCCCTTGAACTAGTCGCAACGCGACCTGGCACCAAATTCGGGCCACAACATCACAGGATTATAAGGTACTATTAATTGAATCGAACTGAAGTAACAATAAAATAAGCATGTCCAAAATCAGCTTTAATTGAGCACACACAAAATATATTATCTTTCTAAGTTTAAATCAGGAAAAAGGACAACTACGTCATCAAAGATTTCCGTGAACTTCACAGTACCCATAGGTTTAACAGGCTGAAGTAGAGAGAACTCTATGTTCCTTTTTACATGTTTTAATTGTTAGAATTTTGACGGCCAAAATATTTATCTGAAATTTAAATATTATATTTTGAGGTGCCAATGAACATCTAAACACATCAAGAAAGCCGCAAAGCAAATAGAATCTATCTCAAGAGCTGGATTCACTTCTGCAGTCCTCCCCTCTCGGTCCGAAGAGAAGAGAGAGGAGACGAGCAGAAAATAGAGCAGAATAAAACAAGAGGATTGCTACACATACAGTTTTGATATCTTCCGCTTTATAGTCTATGACTCGATCAACTCCCAGATCTCTCAAAAGTTTAGCCTTTTCACCACCTCCACAAGTTGCAACCACTTTATTTCCAGCTATCTTTGCAAGCTGCACTTACCACGGTTCAAATTAGCAGAGTTCTCATCATAAATATGAGAGATTTGGAAAAAGAAAAAAAGAGAAAATTTTATGTTCAACCAAACATGACATGATTATATGAATAACACATAGAAAGAGAATTCTTAGGGGAAATATTGAACCCAAAATTGAGCCCCCATCCTCCTGATGGTGCCATCTAGCTCACTTGTATTGTCTTTATGTGGCTACCCGAGACCTGCGCTAGAATTTTGCCTCTGCGACGTATGTGTAGACCACTAGTAATGGGAAAAGCCAAACCCCATCATGTAGCCCACTGTTGCCTTTGGACCAGAGTAAATAAATAAATAAATAAGGAACAAGAAAAAGGTGAAACTACCATCAGCAGGATTTCCAGGACAATGTGCAATTCCGTTAATTGTTGCCAGTTCTGTGATGCAAGCACATTAGATATTGCTTGTCTGCAATCTTTATATATTAGAAAGTATAATTTGTTTCCACTTTCAACTTCAACAATAAGTAGATTGCAATCTAATTAGCCAGTGGATGACTTGCATGCTATTTTTTTTCCCTTTTCTATGTACTAATTCTAATTAGATTGTTTTTTCCCCAAAACCGGCAATGGTAGGAGCCTCATGCACTGGGCTAACCCATCCATTTTTCTTTTGTCTGTGCATACCACCAAGTTAGAGACAGCCAACTTGACTTTGACTAAAACTATTTGGTGGAAGAAAAGGATCAACGGTCATCTCATCATCAATTCCTAGATCAAGTTAAGTTATGATATGACCAACACTTGGCGTCTCATTGTGCAATCACGACAGGCTAGTGCATAAATGAATCATCAATGCGAGACTTTTAAGGAAACATATTACCCAAGGAATTGATCTCTATGCCAGTGAGTTCAAAATTATTAGGGTAGTCCAAGATTTAACCATGACAAAAGAACATATTGGTCAAACAAGAACAGAAGGTGTCAAAAGCGCTCAACAAAAAGACTGGAGTTACGGCTCATGGGGGGAAAGCATCCAGCAACTAAGGACCCAACAAGACTCGACCTGATTGCAGTACAAAAAAGTTTGAATAGGACAGGCTTAGGCCTCAAAGGTGGGATTAGTTCTAACACAACTGGACTTGACCAAGGAATCCATAAATGTGTTGTGCCATCCTTTCCCCATGGTAGAATGTAATATCTTTGTGTTGGCAACTTTTTTCCCTAGGTAAATCTAGTGTTTTCAAATTTTGAATGACATAAGTCGTGCATTGCAGCTTTTAATTATATTTATTGGTCAAAGTGTGTCTCGGTGAGTCAAACTGAGTGAAGCAAGAAGTTCAGATCTTCAAAACTGCAATGCGAAGGTAAGAAGATCTACAACAACATTTAAACTCACATCAAGGATGAACGCACTTAGACTTGGGTGAAAATGTTTTTAAACACAATTTTTAATTTTTTATGCTTTTAAGGACATTAAAAGAGTTTCTGAAAATATCACATTTAAAATGAATTTTGAATGGTGCAAGAGTGTTGCAATGGGAATTGCATTGGGACAACTTGTCCGGTAAGGTGTAAAGTTTTCTGAGAAAATGCACTGGTAGAATTTTTACATGCACCAGTACAGAGTGCTTTATAAAAGGTTAAATGTTTTCCAAATATTGCATAAGTTATTTTTCCAACAGTACAACTTACTCCACTAAGTTTTGCATCAGTACAGCTTATCTTTACACCGGCACAACTTTATGCAGGGTTTGCAAAGTAGTCTTTCCACTAGGAATATGCACAAATTTCCTAATCAGTTTCTAAATCTTTATGCATATCCCTGAGCATTTTGCACCAAGATATACAGTTTTTAACACTAGGGTTGCATGGAAAAACATAAGATACTAAAGAAGTTTTTCAAATATGCTCTTTTTTTCTCTAAGTTTATTAAACCAAGTGAGACGTGAGTTTTAACTTGGTTCTTCCCAAGTATTTTTCCTTTAATTCACTTACACACACGTGTATGGAGTTGAATTCTTTATTTTTGTATTTTGATATACCTAATCATGGATTTGTGAGAATAATGAAGAAGTTGCACTTCATAACCACTCTACAACAACTTGCAGAGACTTACACTCGTTTTGGGTGTAGCATATAATGAATGAAGAAGAGAAGTTGATCGTTGGGTGGTGATCATGTTGATGCAGATAGCAGTGGGCTTGTGGGCCTGGGATAGGAGTTTAGACTGACTGTAACATTGTAAGTCGGAGTAAATCAACAACTAGTGATTCTATGATTGGTTTTCCTGGGATGAATATCTCATAGTATTTCTTGTTTGGGTTTTCCACAAAAATATTTGATGTCTTGAAATTCTCTCTCTACTTTACTACTTTATATATCTGCATATTACTGTGTGGTTGATGGCTTAAAGTCCAAAATTGGCAATACTCAAGTAAATTTGGTGGGGGGGATTGTGGGGATATTTTTAAATTTTCATATTTACAAAATGAAATATACGAACCAGGTAGGGGTTATTGTTTCATAAGTAAAATTTCCATCTTGCCCAGGGAAAAAAATGAAATATAACAGAGTTGAGGGAGTTAAATGCCTTTGTCTTTGCTTTTAAGCATTAAAGCCAAGAGTGCGAAAAAGTGGTAAAAAGTAGATGGCATAATTTCACAGGCATATAAGCTGAACATAGATGGTGATTTTTAAGCACAGTACTCCCTAGGTAGTTACATGGTGTGAATATTAATTTGCCAAAGCACAAATGATTACGTAACTCGTGGGTAATGCTGGTACAATTGTAAATGATACATTATGTGTATAATTACATGGGATTACATTTGAGGATGAAATCAATTCTGAGAATGCATTGAACATGTTTAATGTTGATCGGATCAACTGCTTTGGAAACCTGCTAAAGAATTAGAAGGTTTTAAACCCAATAAAAAGTAATTACATGAGACCAAGGTGGAAATAAAATGTATTAGGATAAATTCAACTAAAAAGGTATAATTAAAGGGCTAATTATAATTTATTTGAAGTTAACTAAGTATAATTCTTGAATAACAAAATCTTAACAGCAATAACAGAAATTGAGAATAATCTACATACAGTTGAGATTATGTTGGACTGTCTAAGAGAGTCGGTGTGTCATACGACCTCCTTAAATTAGTCTGAACCACTTGAGATAGCAACTATACATTTGCACTGCTTATTAGGTGAGAGTCGAAGGAAAAGTCTGAGACTGACCTTGCGATGATTACCATGCTGGAGACATGGTCCAGGACCTACCTATTTGGGAGTGTATGATTGCATATTGATGACAAGAAAGACTAAGGTTACTCCAATCAATGTCGGAGACTAGATTTCTGAAGGAAAATTTAGAAAAATCCTGAAGAATTGTTTAGAAACTGATAACATCTCAAATTATACTGATTACAGCAGACAAGAGGGTTGTTCCATTTATAATAAAACTATTAATGACGTTTCACTTCTCTAAACTGACTTTTAGGCTCCCCACAGGGCATTAATAACAACTTCTACTATTCCCATGACATCCTCAGATTTCCCATACCGTAATTACTACTTAATAAACTTTAACTAGACATTTTTCAAGACACTAATGAGTAGACACTTTCTGAAACACCATAAATTATTTGCATCAAAAATAAAAATAACAATTAGTTAGATATTAATTATTATATGAAATCGGCAGTGACAATATATGAAACTTGATTAAGCAACTTGAGATAAGTTAAACTTGATTAGTATGCCTTTTATGAAATGCTTTTATATATGGAAAATAGGATAAGAATCTAAGATCAATTTGCTGAGCAATGAATCTGTGAGGAGTTTTTTGATGAGCTTGTGGGCTGACCCCTCTATACCTTTTCTGGTACTCATTGATTGGCATGGGATAGAGAGAGATGTGATGGACCAAAGCTCTATTCTAGAGATTGTTTCTTTGAGTGAGTTTTATTTGAGTGGCTTTTGTAGTACCATGCAACGAATACTAGTTAGTATTTATTTGGTTTATGTTAGTTTATATTGTGGACATGATTTTTGAGATGACGTCACTAGGGGCGATTTCACCATACTAGGGGCAATTTTGGGAGATTAGGTTTAGGGCTTGTTCTTGGCTGTGTATATGCTATGGGATGAAGTCCTTTCTTGAGGTTGCACGGCTGCCGAGGATTTCATTGGGGGGGAGTGTTAAGGCAGCAATCCCTCATCGAGGGCCATCATTGTATCTGGAAGAGGCGTAGTTGAAGGGAGAAGATTGATGTGGTTGTCCTGCTTGGTCGGACGTTTTGATAAAGAGGTTGGAGGTTGTGATTAAATTGAGGAGTGGGTGGCAAGGGCGTGGAATATGTCGTGTGGGGTGGGTGTGACGCCATTGTCGGACTCTCTTCTTCTGTTCAGGTTCCCATCTCCGGCGGAGGCGCAAAGGGTGTTGAAGGAAGGACGGCGACAATGGGGATCTGTTACACTGAGGATTGATGTATGGTCTTTAGGGTCGGTTGTTGTGATGTGCTCAAGGACAGAGGGCTTAAGCGAATTCGGCTGTTAGGGCTTCCGTTGCATCTCTAGTGTCAGGCACTTTTTGTTGAAGTGGGAGATTTATGTGGTGGATTTGTCAGTGCGGAGGCGGATGAAACGAGGGATGCTGAAAATGTCAGGATTACAGTGAAGGTTGGAACAAATTGCCCAAAATTTTTGTTTATACACAATAATAGGTTCTGCCACTGTAATGTTTCCAATTTTTATCATTTTCCATTTTCTGGAATTTTTTTATTTTTCGAAGGTATTTTCGTCTTTTATCGTTTTGCGTGTCGGACATCGTGGGGTGTGCCGGGTATATCAGAGTATTGATTGGGACATTTCCTTGGGTTCAGGACTCTTGGAAATACATTGGTTGCCATTTCGGCATTTTTCTGTTTTCAAGCAGGGAGGTCTGAGGTGGGACCCGCTATCGGGGTTGTTGTACACGGGGGTTGTGTCATGGGTCCACTGCATTTCATGCGTTGTT